TTTAAAATCGTGACCTACTTTATAAAAATAAAAATAGTTTAAATTTTTATATTCATTATGTACCTAATATTAATTTATGTTATTTATTATTACTAATCCTCTAACTTGTTTCAAAGGCATAACGGAAAAGAATAATATTTTTATTGCTCTGAAAGCTATTAATAATTTCAATTGAACAATGATACGTTCTAGTTAATCCTGTGATTATGAAATACGATTTTAATTTACTCTGTGAATCTTCAATGTTTTTGACTTAATCTCTCTGCTTTTGCATTTTATCTGAAATTTTCTATAAATATATTAGCAAAAAGCAACTATAGCGGGTTTTCTCTCCTTAAAAAATAAACTTGTTTTTATTAGCTTTGTACATTTATAGTTCTCATGAAGGATTACCGAGATAACTAATTATATAAATGCAATTTATGGAAGTACCTCGTGTTCTCATAAAACAATCCGCTTAATGTATTCCAATTTAAATCTAGTTTTGATTTTATTTTAATAAATTTATTAAAAAACATTTATGAGTAATAAGAATATGAATCAAAAAAGTTATAAAAAAAATTATAAGTACTAGTTTCATCAGCAAAACAAAATAAAAAGTTTAAAATCGAACTACCTTACTGTGGTAGAACCTTGCTGTGTGCTTGCTGTCAAGTTACTATAGGTCTAACAGGGGCTAGCTCGACCGGGGAAGTACCACCCTCTCACAGAAGATTATCGTCAATTACGTTTAATTGCCACCATATTGCAGATTTCCACTGGCGATCGTAACTGCTTCCCATCAACTAGGATTTCTGCTCTTTTGCTCCCTTAACATTAAAAAAGGGTAAAAAAAGTAAATTTAAGATTAGCCTCTAATAAGTTTAGATTTTACATTTTATTTCATTCCGGGCCTTGTAGACATTATTACACAATTGATAGAGCCGACTTTTTTAATGTTCCATAATAAAAAAACGTAAAAGGTTTTCCAATTTTATAATGTGTACTTATTTTAAGCATACTAAGTTCCTAAAAGCAATAAAATGTAAGTAAGACACATCCCAGGATGCAGTAAGAATATACAAATTTGTAGGAAGTATTTGTACTTCCTACAAATTTGTATATTTGTATACAACTCGCTATCCAGAAATGTATGTTGTATACTGATAAACTTTACATCCGCGAGAGTTCAAAGCAAGCATGTCATAATAAAAGTAAAATGTTAGCTTCGTAAGTTTATTAAGATTAAGTTTTTGGCTGTCAAGCATGGTGCTAAACTGAAATAACATGAGCTGAGTTGTGCGGATATTGAAATAGCAACTTGATTTTAGTTTTATTCTGAAAATATTAGGAGTTATATACTTTTGTAATAAATAATTAATTTGATATGATTTCAGAATGAATTTAAGAGATTCTGTATATGGTACTTGCCTATATTTATTGGTGATATACTTTATAAAAAAATTGTTTTATTGAAAATTAAAATACATTTCAAAGTTAATTTATGTTGATACCTTATATTTAAACTTATATTTCAAATCTGTGCTAAAAATTTAGAGTTTTATCTGATATGGAATATCATATTAATAGTTAATCGGCTTCATCCCTGGGAAAGCTTTTTCAGTGAAGAGCGAGGTACTATAGAATTGCAATGGCTACGCGGTGCGGTGTATTGTTTCTGTCTCCTAGAGTAGGAAATTGGGATTCGAGTACTTGAGAAGCTACGAAAAGTTTTAGTGTTTTATAAAAAAAATATTTTAGTACTTGAAATATAAAATGTTTTCTTCTTTTTTGATATAAAACTTTTTTTAACTTTTATTGCAACTATAGAACTAATATAGTTATTTTTTAAACGTGAAGATAATGTACTGAAAATAAGTTTAAATTTAATTATATTTGTATAATAAACTTAATTCGCTTAGTATGTATTTATTTATTTTGCTAAGTGTTTAAAAAAATTACAGAGATTGTTTTAGACGATATTTACAAATAAAATTCACTATATGTTTAGACAAAATTGATTTAAGATACTAAATAAATAATACATCATTCGATATTTATATAGAGATGATATCTGTGGTTTTATTCTACTTTTTGTTCCTAAACCTAATTTCCTTGCCCATAAATTAAAATTGCTTTCTTATACAGGGTGACTGGTGAATTACTATCAATATTTAAGGAGAATACTCAGTACATGATTCTCATTTGAATTATGTAAAAAAAAATAGGTACTTAATTTTTGACCAAATTTCTGTATAAATAAATAAAGTGTGGACACGTTCCAAGTGTTCCAAGTGTGGACGCGTGCGGCGGCGTGCTGATACAACACCACGCCGCCGACGTGTGTGTGTGTGTGTGTGTGTCTATACCTAATCTGTAGGGTGTGCACACGATGAGTAATTAATTACATAACTTTTGGTTAACTTTACTTAGAAGTTTATTAATATTTATGTTATATTAATTTTTATTTTGTCATATATGATCGTCAAATATCACGTCCTCAAATATCGATAGTAATTCACCAGTCACCCTGTATAAAACTTCTTCTTGAATAACGCATGTGATATGTTTCCACTAATCTTTCTTCTATAGGATTTGTTACGTTCTGTATTTTTGTTTATTAATAAAATTGAATTTGTTGTTGTTGATCTAAATACACATAATCTATTTCAGTTCTTTTCAGGTCAGTCCAACAAATGTCGCGATTGGACGATGGAAGATAAACGCTCCTTGATGCCGAGTTCTTGTAGAATGGAATTGTTAGTTCGAAATTCCGTCCAAGATATTTTTCTCCAGCACCACATTTCGAGGGCGTCTATTTTCTTCTTCTCACATTCTCTTATGGTCCACGTCTCAGCACCATAAAGATATATAGGGAATATTAGTGCCTTCACAAGTCGTATTTTTGTTCCTTCGATTACCCCATATTTTCTTTCTTTACGAATACCCTCATGCAAATCCCTCGACTAATTTATAATTTGAAGTTTCTAACAAGGCTGCAGGTATTTGACTTGAAAGAGATGAATCAAACGGTGATGAATGTAATGACGCGTGGCCAGATGGCTAAGAAACAACGGGATGCTATAATTTCTAAAAACGATTGGACTGATCAACCAAAAGTTGTAGAAATACATAGCAAACCGAAGTATTTCACGGATTTACGTTTCATAAGCGCTTATGAATTAAACCGATATCGTAAATTGAAAGAGATAACGTATGGGAAGGGATGTTTGAGTTACGTGCCCCCAATGAATACTATGTTTATTAATTTAACTTCTCGATCGCAACTATCGCCAGGTGAATTTGTGAGAGAGCTGGATATATTTTGTGGGAAAATAAATATTAAAGAAATGTACTTTATTAAGACTGAGAAAAATAATAAATTTGTGCAAAAGTATATTGAGGCCTACCCATTAATATCAAAAAGGTCAGGTGAGGTAGCCAGGAACTTCGAAAACAATTTTATTCTCAGGTATGGTACTTATCCCGAAGGAGATAGCTACAGACAGGGTAACGAAGTTTTTATCGGACACAATGAAAGAGGTTTGTAAACTTTTGCATATTAATAAGCTGCAGTCTACCGCTTATCATCATCAAAGTATCGGTGCCTTGGAGAATTCTCACAAACATCTATAATCCAGCCACATTCGATCTGGAATTTTAGTAAACAAACCATGAGTCATCATAATTAGGGTTGATACATTCTTAATAAAAAATAATTATTATTATAATTACAACTACCTACATTCATTATAACACAATTTCCTGTTTAAACACAAAAAAATTTATTTTTAATACAGAATCCAAAAATTTTATTTAGCCGGTCAATACATAATTATTATGAAAATTAGCTTAAAATAAAAGTTTAAAAATCTTTAATTACCACTATAATATTACTACAAAACTACCAACCCTATGTTTTAATACCGACGTAAAGAAATCGCAGGTTTGTAACATTTGGAGTGTTTTTTAAGCAATTGGCAGATTTAGGACGGTATATAATAGCGATACAGGCTTTTCGTAATTGGTGGTGTAAATTTTAAGTCGTATTATAATGGTAGTATAACCCCAACAGGTTGAGAATGGTAACATTACACACAACGTTTCATTACACACAGATAAAAAAAAAAACATCTTGTTTCGGCTAGCATAAATATAGCACCATAATCACTGTTTCAACCACAAATATTTCAATTTTTTCTAATATATATATCAGATAACATTTAAGAAATTTTATTGCTATTACATTTTAATTAATTTGAAAAAATATTTTTTAACGCAAATAAACTTAAACGAAACGCAACTACGTAATTTTGTTGCATTATACGCCCGCCATAATGTTTGTTTTGTTTTGTTGTTAGCTTTGCTTACAATTCGCGAGTGTTTTGATTCTAGTCTTCTTCCGTTCTGTTATTAATTGTTAAGTTTTGTTATCGTTATTTAGTTTTAATTAGTTATTGTTAGGTATAAGACGTTTGTTGTTATCAAACATTGTTTATATTAGATTACGATGAGTAATACTGAATTACCTGGTCCGAGTGGGATTGGATCTGTAGCGAAATTTTCTTCGCCCAAGGAGAAACGCGCGAAGAAATCTGCCATGAGCTTGTTAGAAAAAACTGTCCTCATCAATATTTAAAAACTTGTCGAGGAAACTTGGCCCAAAAATGAGTTTATATATCGAAAAGATATTGCCAAAAAGACAGCGGAAACCGCCGGCGTTAGCTTGTCTACTGTTTACTGTTTATAATGTTTGGCTGAGTATAAAAATGAAAAACGTGTGCATTCGCCGACACCAGCATCAAAAAGGGTGACAAAAATTGATTTGTTAGACGAAATGGACTTCAGTGGCATAAGAAGAAAGTTTCACGAGTTTTTTTTTCGAAATGAACCACCGTCATTATCCCAAGTGTTACACAAGCTGTTAACGACGATGCAACTCTTCCAAATTTTAAGAAAATAACTTTTCAGAAACTAATTAAAAATTGGATATTAAATACTTGAAAAGGTCAAGAAAAAGCATGTTAATTGAAAAGTCAGATAATGTCCGATGGAGATTTGATTATTTAACAAAAATCATCAAGTTACGGGAAGAAAAACGAAAAATATACTATCTCAATGAAACATGGCTTGACGAAGGTATATTAACTGATGAAACTTTTTTGTAGCCTTTTCCTTTATAATACATTTGTGTTTTCATTTAATATTTAACAGCTTTAATCTTATTTTTTAGGACACACAAAATCAAAAGTATGGCAAGATGTAAGTGTGCAGTCCAGTCAGAAAGCTCATAGAGAAGGCCTGTCTACGGGCTTAACAGCCCCAACGGGAAAAGGAAAACATCTGATAATATTACACATATTGGTAAATATTTAACAATGTTAATTGATTTTGTTTCGATTTAAAATATGTATATTATTAAATATATTACTCTATAAGAAATGTTTATATTTTTTTTACAGGAAGTGATGATGGATTTTTAAATGGTGGAGAATTAATTTTTGAAAGTAAGAAAGGAGAAGGTGATTATCATCAAGAGATGAATTCAAAAATTTTTGAAGATTGGTTTATGAAAATAATAAATAAAATTGAGCCAAACTCAATTGTTGTGATGGACAATGCACCATAGATATACATACATAGTTAATGAGGTGATTGATAAAGTTAATAAAGCGAATTATATAACTACGAGGTAATTTCTGATATCATTTTAATATTGGAGGTATTTTTTTTGAGATCTACATTATTCCAGATGATTATAAGTATTATAATTATAACCAAGAATGCGCTTAGTCCTTTGTCATAAATATTTTATTATTAATCATCAATTTTAATTTTTATAAACATCAAATATAATTGTTGTACATATTTCCACATCGAATTTGGCTGGAGTATAGGTAACTTTTTGCAAATACAGACAGGCAATCACTCAGAGGCTTGGAGCATGTGGCTTCCATTTTGGTGTTTTTCCTATAACACTGCAGTACATATGGAGACTAAGTTTACTCCCTATGAGTTGGTGTTCGGTAAGAAATGTATTTTACCACCTAGTTTTGCGATTAGCACAAGTCGTTCCTTTGTACAATTTTGATAATTATCCTTTAGAACTCAAATTCAGATTACAAACGTCACAAAAAGAGGCTAGAGAAAATTTAATAGCTAGTAAATTAAAAAGAAAAAATAAGTATGATCGTAATATAAACCCTATGACTTATAAATAGAATGATTTGATTTTAATAAAAAATGAAACTGGCAGTAAGTTCTAAAACATATATTCGGGTCCATACAAAGTAATAAGGGAATGTTCACCCAATGTAGAAACAATTAAGGATAATAAAAACTATGTTATTCACAAAAACAGAACAAAAATGTATTTTGAACCAATTACCTAACAATTTTGTTAAAAGTTTATCTACCAAATACTTCAAAAGTTTGTAAAGATAGTAATTATAATATGACATTATACTATATTAACATTCGTAATATAAGCTAAAATAAATTGTATTGTTTATTTTATTTTTTTTATTGCGGTGGAGATGAGATGTAGTGAATAAATTATATTAACTAAACGTACTTATTAACCATTATATACTACGTAAGCTAATTTTGTACCTATTTAATGTACGATCTATTGGAAATAAAGGCAGTATCTATTTAGTAGTCTCAGCTTCATTCCTCTCTCAGAGCACCACATTACCTACAGTTTGAATCAAAAGCAACGTGTAATATTCTCTTCTTAGACGAGGATTAACATATATATATTTTTTTTTCAGGATGAGGATGACAAGCCAGGTGTAATAGAGTGTCTGCATATTGAAGTGTGGGAGTGTGCATCGTTGTATGCCCTCAAGTATGCGGAGGAGTTTGCACCACATACACCTGGCTTCGTGGCCGCCGTGTTGCATGTATTATTACTCGCAGGACCGAAGGAGAAATATGATGCCGTGAGTATGTTCATATGTGTGTGTGTGTGTGTACATTGTGTGTGTGTGTGTGTATGCAATGTACATGTAGTTTGTGAATGTCACTTATAAGTTATACATATCGGTGTATGTACGCGTGCAAGTATGTATGAATGCAAGAGTAACTTAGTACTAGCTAACTAGCTGTGTACATACTGATCTATAAAATGTATAATTCTTAAAGGAGGGAATATTTTTGTTATGTATAAATTTCACTCTATTTGAGAGTGCATAGTTCTTCAAATGACCACACTAGAATCTTTCTCAAGTAATGACTAATTATCAAAATTATTATATTTTTTAATTAAACAATCAAAAAATGCAAATATACAAAAGTACTTATGTAAACAATTTTTTTTAATATGCTTTTCTTTGAAATTATTATTGTCGCCTTTTTAATAAAAGTTGCTTGTTCTGATATTGTTGGACACGTCTTAAGATTTGTATAACTAGTATGGTAGTTTTCATCTTTGTTTCGCTCACATACTCCAAGAGCCTAGTATTATTGTACATGTGTAATGATATTTTTTTACTTACAGCTAGAGTTTCTAGCGAAAGTCGCTGAGAAAAATAGTTACGAAAATCTGTTCGAAGATCCGGCCACGCTCAGTCACATATGCGAGGATATTGTCATACCTAATATGGAGTTCAGAGGTGATTATATCTTATTTATTTATATAAAGGCTCCTTAACAATATACACAGACATTAATCATAATATAATAACAGGAATTATAAAGGGTGGTAATCAGTTCCATAAAAACTAAGAAACTTACTTATATGTATATTATAATAAGAATTACATGTTAAAACTTATAACCTATACCTAAGACTACATGATTGCCCCGATGTTAGGATAGCAAGACCATTCCATGGCTTGTGTGGTATCAGGAATCTTCTGGTTCACACGGTTTGGTGTTCGTTCCGCAGAGTCAGCGGCGTCACTCGTTATATGATATTTTATCCATAGAACGATGTTGCCCCGGCGAGATTCATTTATTTTTTTAAATATTACGCGTACGTAACACAGTATTGCCTAAACCTGGTGTTTAACTTTTATACAAGTACTAGCTGCTGCCGGCGGCTCCGTCCGCGTGAACATCACAGTTGTTCTCTGTCACTAAGGCCACTGAACCTGAACTGCTTCCACTTCATGGTTCAACCCGTGAATTTTCGCGATCGGGAAATCGGCGTTATGTAATCGGATAATCGGGATAAAAAGTAGCCGAAGTTATTTTTCTGGGCTTCATTTATATACATACTAAAATTCATAACGAACGGTTCAACGGCTTAGGAATTAAAACTTAACAGACGGACAGTTACTTTCCTATTTATAATATTAGTAGGGATTTGAAAAATAATAAATAAACACTGTTATAAAATACTAAATTATAAAGTTGATATTTGTTTAATAACACAAAAAGGATAGAGTTATAATTGGAAGCAATTTATCCCTACTAATATTATAAATGCGAAAGTAACTCTGTCTGTCTGTCTGTCTGTTACGCTTTCACACCTGAACCACTGAACTGATTTTAATGAAATTTGGTACAGAGATGGAGTTGCCCTTGACAAAGAACATGGAATAATTTTTATCCCAGACTTTTGAAAAGTTCTCTTGGGCGAAGCTGCGGTCGGAAAGCTAGTTATAAAAGTACCACATATCTTTTTAATATAACGGTACCCTTACAGATATCTAATCATAATATGAGGCGAGTGTAGTGTACACAATGGGAAAAGAGTACGTCCATGTGTTTTAGCCTAAAGTGAATGGAATTGCTCACATGTACCCAAAGTGCACACTCGCCTTGTATGACATAATCAATGGAATAGAAATATCTAGCACTCCACGAACTTAAACACTGAACGAATCTCTTTTTTTTCATTCTAGTTTTATTTTGAATAATTAAAAATATGCTACTTTTAGTCTGCCATTTTATAAGCGAGTGTTTTTGTAATTTTTTTAAACATTTAATAATTTATTTTAAACCGACAATAATTGAAGTAAGTGTCTTTGTATGTCTCTATATAAGAACCATGTTGTATTATGTTTTACAGGTGGTGTTATTGGACTGTACTTGAGATTCATCCATCAGGAGATGACGGCTGATCATCAAGTGTTAGATGAAAACTAACAATGAACCAAGTATTGATGAAACATAGAATTATATGAAGAGGAGAATGACTCCGTTAGTGTAACATATTAGAATAGAAAAGACTTGAAGTATCAACTGTAGCAGTCTCCAGACAATATAAGGAGTGTGTTCATTGTAAACATGTACAGTACGTGTTTGATGTGTCTATTGATATCAAAGAACCTCCTGGAATGTACGTATATAAAGAAAGATAATTTATTTTTAATTTATTTAAAACCATTTAGAGCTCTCCTACAGAAACATCTTCCTCAATCAAAGTACTCATAGTTTCACTACCGTCGTATGTTTTCACTACATGGTCTGCCCATCGATCATGAAATATATGTTTGTTTCAAAATATAAAGATAAGTAAAGTTAATGATATCCAAACAAATCTTTGTAGAGGACCGCAGTCTTAAGAAAATTATTATTTCCTAAACGCTATATTTGGCGAAGGCTTATTAATTTGATAGTTTGGTTTAATTAATTCATTACTATTTTTATTTTAACTTTTATGTTGTTAATCTTTGACCACATCCTAAAATATGTGCTATCTTAAATAGTATTATTTGTAACGTTCCAGGACTCGTGAGAATATATAATTCAAGATGAGGGTCGAAGCTGTTGGTGGAGCGTCTGTTAGGACGTGGTCTGCGGACCAGAGGAAACCTTCTATGAAGAGAAGTGTATGTAGCTGATGTACGATAGTAGTGTGTCGGTATGTACTGTTGAATATTTAATATTATTCTGTTATTGTTTAAAGTACCTAAGGGTGAATATTTTTTGAGTTCATTTATTCAATACTTTTACTAATGACTAGCTTTTGCCGCGACTGCGTCCGCGTGGAATAGTGACTTCCGGCAGATTTTTGGTTCTTCCCACATAGTTTCCGTTCTTGCGGTGTTTTCGGAATGGTCGAGTTCCCGTAGAATTTTCAGGATAAAAACTATGTTTTTTTTATTCACAATGAAGTACTCTTAACCAACAACATATTTATTTGTTTATTTGAATAAAGATTAATATTATTATGTTGATACAGCTTAAACAAATAATTTCGACCAAATTAGATATCATAAAAACGATTTTTGTGAGTTAATCTTAAAAGATAGACATATACTGTCGCGGACTGTTTTTTAGATCATTAAAAGAGCTATTATTCTTTAATACATATTTTTTGTGTATCTTGAAGCGTTTTCACGGCGCACGCAACGGAAGGCTTCAAAGATGAAATAATTTCTCCCGTTTTTTACACATTTATCACTATATCTTTGCCTATTGGTCGTAGCGTGATGTTTTATAGCCCACAGCCTTCCTCGATAACTGGACTATCCAACACAAAAAGAATTATTCAATTCGAACCAGTAGTTTTGGAGATTAGCGCTTTCAAACAAACAAACAAACAAACAAACTCTTCAGCTTTATAATATTAGTATAGATTACAAAAGAATATTCTATTTTCTATACATTTCCTTTGAAGATAATGTATGTATATATGTATTTTTTCCAGAATCAGATATCGAGTTGTTTGAAGATAATCCCGAGGAGTATGTGTGGCGTGATATCGAAGGTTCAGACGTTGCGACCAGACGCCGCGCCGCCTGCGACCTATAAAATGATGACCATCTTCGGACAGTACGTAGAGGTCAGTGAATTGATTTATTACTCACTATTATTATGTATGTTAAGACCTCTGATTTCGGTAATGGTCTTATAATTTTATCTAAGTGAATTATACTAATGATCGTCAATTTGTAAAACTAAATCTGTACGAAGTCAATGTAATAATTTTTGAATAAATTACCCCACCATTTATCTGACACTATGTTTTCATATATTATGAAAATGTCCATACTTCAATGATTTATTATATTTGTATCACTAAAAAAGTCTACCTGGGAATGTTTTGCAATATATGCCTGACAAAATAGTTTCGTATATAATATCAACACAATATTCCATTATTACACTTCATAAGGAGTATTTTCAGCTGTCTTTGTTGAGGAACTTACTAGTGCATAGGAACATTACTCAAATGCAAAAATTTTCCCTCCTATTCACCTCTCATCTCATTTGTGTATAACTTAAGTTATTGTTTTAAATTCATCAACTATTTCTATTTTCATGTATCAGTTGAAAATTCCCAATAGGTTTCTTTACAGGCTGGAAGTAAGTTTTCTATTAATATAAGCGAAATGATACTTGTCGCTATCTTAATTATAATTTTCATATATAATATATCCTAAATAATTTTTTTTTGGTCAGGATTTCTTCTAATCATCTGCCGTACTGCACTGCTAGATATTTTCTGTCACAAATAATGTTTCATTATACCTATCAATAGCCTGGTACACAAACAATCGTCTAATAATTGGTCACTAATTGTATTTGTATTCATAGTCCATACCTACTCATATAAATCAATCGTAGCGACAATATATTGGCGAGATAATAAAAATAAAACAATGAACAATCGTATGAAAATACTACATTCTGTATATTTTTTTATAATAAGAGTATTTACGGCCAGGCTGATACGTACAGGTGTTTAGGGACAATACTTACTTGACTTTGACGAAACATCTCATCATTTAATTTATTCACCGTGCGGATGCCGGGTCCATCGTTGTAGGGAGAGGAGCTTCAACAGTGCCTGGGACTTGCGACCCAGCTGTAGGTTTAAGGGACCCCTATCTAACGCGCGTTAAACGTTCACCTCCACTGTCCGAGCTCCTCTCTATTGTTATTATCTGTTTTCTTATGACCATTTGATATAATTTTAATAATAATAATACAATTAATATTTCAGATGATGCTATTAAAGTATTCATCTCGAGGAGGTAGTGGTTACACAGCGTTGTTTCTGGTGACTTCGCTCGCGTCCCGAGGCTCCACGCAGGCAGCGTTCGTGACCAGTTCTTCGCTCTTAGTAGATTTAACTTCCTTCGCCGCTACACATGTATTGCCAGAGCTTTAACGACCCGATGGTAAGAGATTGGAATATTTTGCGAAAACTCATGTGTAAACCCAGCTGTACATATGGGAAATTTTGTTAGTAAATTATATAAAAAAATCTGTGTTTGTATAAAATAGTAAAGAAATGGGATTAGTAACTTATGGCAAATTCACATTGTTACATTAAATAACAAGCTTTGATAGGATAAATTTATATACATTGATACAGATATATCCGCGTAACTACCATTGGATAATTCCGTTTATGTACAGTGGAAGCAGATTATCACAAGAAAATTTAATTTGAAATACATATTTTCCATATTAATGACTTGTAAGGTAATTTTTCGACATTTAGTAATAATTTAATGTTTAATTTGCGGATTTGCACTATGCCCTACGATATGCCACAAATCAGATATTTCATTATACTTATTAAACATAATATATAATGTATAATATATAATGTCCAACAGGGAATAAGCTGCCAGTACTTAAAGCAGACGCCATCAAATACATTATAACGTTCATGTCACTACTACCCAAGAACCTGTTCGCAACAGCTCTACCATTACTGGTGAGTAAATAGATTTTACATTACTATGGGCTATATATGACAAAATTATGTATGAAATATTTATATGATCATTATTAATTGTGGTTTTTAAAGATATGTATTTGTTAAATAGCTTTAATTTTTGCTATATTGGTAAAGCAGTTACATATCAGATATTTTTGAACAAATAAATCTTCAGATAATCATTTTACATACGGTTTTCTTTTTTGTAGTTAAATGTCTTAGTATAACATGTTATTTATGTTTTATGATATTATTGGACCTATCTTAGGATATTTATATCGTGTGAACACAATTAAGTTAGTTTATCATGTGTTTACTTTAGCTGGTCACTAGTTAACTTAGCTATTAAATGGTTTAACTTTTACTTGAGACTTATATAAACTAATGTATGTATATATCTTTGGTTTCCAGATCAAACATATTGGTGTTGGTGACGTAGTAAGCTGTAGAAAAGCTGCTAGCGGGAGGCCTAGCGACCAAGACACAGCTGGAGCCCATAGTTAACTATGTTTAACTATATGTGGCAATAGACACGGGGACGTTAATGTATTAACGTGGCAACTGGCAAAGGCCCGTCTCATATACAGTTACTCATAATTATTAATGCAGAAACTACTGTAGGTATGTATAAACAAATACATATCAACAAATAAGTAGGTATTATTTCAATTAGTTTAAATGAACCTGTTTATTATAAGGAAGAGATTATTTATTTTTATAGTCAGAGTATTCAAACAACATTTAAGTTTTGTAGCTGCACAGTGAGAAGCTGTATTAAATTTTGTTTTATTTTTGGCTAAGAATGCTCATTAAATTATTCCTAGACACAATACATTTAGCAGAATAAATAGTTTCTTATTTTGCAACTAAAATTTATTCAAGTGTAGTATTTCTGGAAAACTAATTATAAGAATATAAAGTACCTAATATTTGTGATTATTGAAGTTTAAAAAAATGTTTTGACCTTCAATATTTATATATAGTTCAAGTCAGTATGAATAGTTCAACTTCGTACCGGCCGTTCCGAAAAAGTTTCGAGGCGATGCTGTTGGAAAAGGCAACATAATTTATCTTCTATACATATTATAAAACTGGAGAGGTCTAATTTCTGTACACTGAAAAAAAAATGCTTAAAACCAACACAGGGGGACATAAATAGATGGAAAATAGAAATAACTTTTTTTTTTAGAGGAGTAAGATAACGTATTGAGGGGTGACAGATTTATGCCGAGTGCCGGAGTCAGCAAACAGCGCTAGTGTACCACAGAATTAATCTGTTTGGTTTATAATAATGTGATTTTATGAACTAAATTCATCATCATCATTAGCCTATCAGACCCCACTGCTGAGCAAAGGCCTCTTCCCACATGGAGATGATTTTGAGCATTAATCACCACTCTTGCTCAAGACGGGTTGATGATTTTAAACTTGTAATTTGGAAATTATAAGTCCAGGTTTCCCCACGATCTTTTCCTTTACTGTCTGTCAGTGGTGTCTATAAACTAAATTACGTAACAGAAATTTTGTATTGTTATGAAAAAATACCATTATCTTACCTTTTTTTTTGTTGTCGCAGGGAAACTCTTTTTACGAGCCGTCCAACCGTCCTTGGTGGGGCCGGAAGGGATGTGTGAGGCTCGGCCTGGGCAGGCCCCTACTCACTAAAACCACTGCGAAAGCCATCGGCCGCTATGTCGGTGTACCCCAGATCTGTCAGCGACAGGGTACACCAGCGACTGGCCGGTCCTGGCAAAGACCGGACTTAGTCCCTCGGAGACCATTATCTAACCTACTTCATATTTATCTGATAAAAAATGTTAATATAATCCTATACATAACAAAGCAAATGTAATCAAATTTATAAAATAACAATACATCTGTATACAACAATTGTTTCTTTTATTTTTATATACCTAATAATTTAAATATTGTACTTATTCGTATTTTCTAGAATAATTCTTGGCCGCGTCTTAATTTGAGTCCAGATCTAAATATTTAATTAAGAACACTAACTTGAGGCCGGGACATCAATAAAGAAATAATTTATTTAAATATTAAGATTTAGTTGAAAATTTAGGAACATATTAATTTTACTTTATACATAGTCAAAACCGTTTATAACGACATTGAAGGGACCGTATATATCCGACGTTATATCCGATAGTCGTTATAAGCAATAGTCATATACACAACTACAGTAGTTATACATATTGTCATATGTAGTCACATATCTATCTAGTATAGATATAGGTTATGTAAACGATTCAGAAAAGAAATAAAAATATTTATTACGAAATAATTAGAACACAAAATGTATGTACTTGGCTGCTTACAGTTACGGGTTATAAAAAACTACACTAGTTTTTAAAGTAATCAGTCATTTTAGAATTATTTTTTTTAGCACAGTCTCAAATATTTTTAGCATTTTACGTTTCATACTCAAGGTATGAGTATCATCAATATCAAAGTGTTCGTTAAAGGCAAATTTTTTTTGCAAAACTGTTACATCATTAAGAGCCTCGGAAATCATTGTTGGCTGAAACTATTCTTCAAGGTCTTGTTGGTCTTCGTGTTGTTCGTTAGTGTTAGGGTTGTTACTTTTAGTTTCTGCAAGAATCTCTTCCTCAGTAGCTAAGGCGCTAACGCGACACTGTTATCTATTCCAATAAATTCCTCTATCTCAATTCTTTGTTCTAAAGCAGTAGATCTTTGCAACTGGGTAAGGACAAGGAGCGGTTGGTCGTTAAAGTCGATTAATATCGATTAATTTTCGTCGTTCTAAGCGATATGTCGCTGTATCCGATGTTGTTATAAGCGGTTTGTATACTGAATAGTTTACTAGCAATTCGGACGGGACCATACAATCTGGCTGTTATAACCGATAGGTCGTTGTAAACGATGTCGTTATAAACGGTTTTGACTGTATATCTTTAAATGATTGACATGATTTATAAAACTGTAGTTTATGACGGAATATTATTTATGTATATATTACTGTAGTTTAAACATTATTAATATATAATACAGATAAAGTATTGTATATTTTGGGACAGCTTGTGATATTGGTTTTCAAATATGAATTTTAAACTGCGCACGAAGTTGGCTTCAAATACAGAGTCGCTGAGGTTTTGTGTTGTTGCGTATAGTTTCCTTTTCCGGGAGAGGTGTGGAATAAATATGAAGTGAACTTTAAGCGGTATTCATTTCCTAGCTATACAACTACGTGAAAATCAATAGCTTTATTTGACAAAAATTAGGGCTATGTAATATAAATCAAATTAGTTATACAGGGTGACTGGTGAATTACTATCGATACTTGAGGACGTGATATTTGACGATCATATATGACAAAATAAAAATTAATATAACATAAATATTAATAAACTTCTAAGTAAAGTTAATCAAAAGTTATGTAATTAATTACGCATCGTGTGAACACCCTACAGATTAGGTATACACACACACACATACACACACACGCGTGCGGCGGCGTGGTGTTGTATCAGGACGCCGCCGCACCCGTCCACACTTGGAACACTTGGAACGTGTCCACACTTTATTTATTTATACGGAAATTTGGTCAAAAATTAAGTACCTATTTTTTTTACATAATTCGAATGAGAATCATGTACCGAGTATTCTCCTTAAATATTGATAGTAATTCACCAGTCACCCTGTATATATATTAATTCATAAAGTATTGAATTAAATTATAACTTTATCTAATTCTACCAAATATATATTATAAACTTACATACATTTTTACAACACGCTTAGATAATGCTCAATCCAATATATGGCAATAAAAATCTTTATTATACATATTATTACACCACAGTTATTCAATTCGGGGCCTACACAGTTGCGAAATTCAATTACATTTATTACTTTATGAGTCATAATGAAAATAAGGGATATAAAAGGAATAAATATTATTTCCTATGATTTTTTTACATTTTCTTAATATAGAAACTCAATCTAGGGTATGTAATTATAGATTTACCTTAAAATGTACTTTTTAAATTTGTACAAAGATTTTTGTATAAAATCAAAATAATACTTAATCACAAAGTTCTTTATCAACTAGGACTTTTATTAAATCCTCATCCTTGATATAGATAGTCTGAATGAAGTAAAACTTTTCGGTAACTCGATAAGCAGCGCGACCATCTACTAGTAGGTATTATAGAATATGACGATATAGCTTTTGAATATGATTGAGATCTGTAAAACTTTGTGCACCGTATCTATTTATTTATAGTCAAAGTCTGTGTCATGCTTCACAACTTTGAAATGAAAATGTATTTAAATTATTGAGTCAATTAAATTGAAAAAAATGAAACAATGAAATGAAATGGCTATATATTATTTGGAAGCAAGATACAAGGATGGGACAAAAACAAAATTCTAAAGCACCTTGCCTTCTACTTACACCATTTTTTGCAATAGTTTTATAAATTAAACAAATAACTATAAAACTTATTGTGTACCATTAATCATAATTTTCTTACTATGTATAAAAACAAAATGAAATAATTTCAATAATAACCCATTTTCACCTAAAATTCTGAAGCAAAAAGATAGTTACAAGTGGTAAAAGGGGTTCCTAATTCTACTGTTTATTTTACAGTTCCTTTATTTTTCCAATTCCAAATCCCTTACTTTGCTATTTTTCATTGTGGCTTCCAAATTTTCTTCATTTATCTTCAACACAAAAAAATAAATAGGTAAAATCTTCTTCAATGTGCAAAGTGAGGACAATAATAAAAAAACAATAAAAAACGAAATGGAGTAATATTATAAGGAAGGTAGAGAATGCAATTTCCCAGCCTTATTAAGCTATAAACAGTAAATAATATGATCTGCAATTTTATTATAAATTCTGAACAAGTTCACTTTTAAGACGTCTTTAATGCGCATCTAAGGCAACGCAATAAATAAATAAAGTGTGGACACGTTCCAAGTGTTCCAAGTGTGGACGGGTGCGGCGGCGTCCTGATACAACACCACGCCGCCGCATGCGTGTGTATGTGTGTGTGTGTGTGTGTATACCTAATCTGTAGGGTGTTCACACGATGCGTAATTAATTACATAACTTTTGGTTAACTTTACTTAGAAGTTTATTAATATTTATGTTATATTAATTTTTATTTTGTCATATATGATTGTCAAATATCACGTACTCAAGTATCGATAGTAATTCACCAGTCACCCTGTATATATATATCGGATTTATTACAAATTCGTTGTTTTAAAACACTGAGACGCCAGCGTTCCATGATATTTTAAAATGAAACTTCAATTGTTCTTAATGCTCCTGTATTTCTCGAAGGTTCTTCATAATCACATACTTCAAAGATACGAACTCACTGAACTCTGAATTCTCAATTCAAGTATATAGGTACTATTTACCAAAATCTGTTTTACTGGTTAGTAGCGAATATGAAATGAGATACTTGTATATCATACATATGAACGGGATAATATTTTATTAATTATTATTA